TGAATCAAAGAACGAGATATTGAAGAAGAATGTAGATTTGTATTGAATCAAAACGTTGAATCCAAAGTAATACAGGTCGACTCTAATCAACATTGATTTTTGTCTCTAATCACATCGATCAGTGAATCGCACATCGCAGATTCATAAACCAAATAATTCTTTCGATGAAAAAGAATAAAAGGAATTCCAAACTATTTATATTTCTTTCTCGAGCTAGTTCACTTCTAACTGACTGCCAGCTCATCCTCCACGTCATCGTTGACGGAATCCTCCTTTTGATTTTCCCATGACTTCTTCTTTCGGTGATACACGTGACGAAATCTATCAATACTCCCTATGGACAAAGCTTGCCCTCAAGCTTATACGATGGAAAATGTTGCACAAAATATGTGAAATGGAACCCACGAGTTCTCGTGTGTCGAAACTCCTTTCCATTGAACCAGTAATTCCCACTTGCCAGCCTCGTTTTCACGTGAAGCAAAGACGTCCTTAAGTTCCAGCATAGTAGACACCAAGTCCGTGCATGATGGAGGTATCGGCTGCGTTTGTTGACCCACTCCTAACGCCCATTTCAGTTGAGATACGTTAAAAACAAGGTGTATTTTTTATTCCATGGGTAATTGTAAGCGGTAAGCAGCTTTACCAATTCTCTCCATCACTGTGTATGGGCCAAAATATTTTGCAGCCAACTTCTGACAAAACCGTTTAACCACCGTTTGTTGCTGATACGGTTTCAGCTTCAAGTAGACACATTCTCCCGCTGCAAATTCAACATCTCTGCGATGCTTATCAGCCTGCGATTTCATCAACTGTTGAGCTTGTGTCAAATGAAGCTGGATCTGTTGTAAAATTTCATCACGTTCCTTGAGAGCTTCCTCTAGTTCAAAGTTCGTTGTTGATCCGTCTTCATCTCAAACAATTTCAAGTGGTTCTCTTCTGTAAACCACATGAAACAGAGACGTTTTCAGAGCCGTATGAAACGATGTGTTATACAATAGCTCGGACCACGAAAGAAAATTGAACCATGTGCGCGGATGACTTAAAGCAAAGCAGCAAAGATAAGTCTCGACACATTGATTCAATACCTCAGTTTGGTCATCTGTTTGTGGATGAAAAGCCATACTATACTTCAGTTTCGTGCCCGACAAGCAAAACAAGTCTTTCCAAAAGTTGCTCAGAAATATGCGATCCCGATCTGATACAATGGACTTCGGAAAGCCGTGAAGTTTTACTATCTCCGACATGAACTTACGTGCCACGTCCACTGCTATAAACGAATGGCAAAGACCCACAAAATGACCATATTTACTTAGCCGATCCACTACCACCATGATCACATTCACCCCTTGTGAACTTGGGAGACCTTCAACAAAGTCCATTGACAGATCCTTCCACACTCGTGTTGGAATGGGTAACGGTTGTAGAAGTCCTGCTGGTGAGAGTGTTGAATACTTATGTGTCAAACACACTTCACACTCTGAGACGTATCGCTGAATGTGATGTCGTAAACCTTTCCAATGAAACATATGCTGAATCCTTTTTACCGTTTTTAAGACCCCGGAGTGCCCTCCCGTGACACCATCGTGGTATTCCTGAAGAATCAGTGGCATCATTGTTGATATCTTTGGAATTAAGAGACGTTTTTTATACCAAACCTGACCCTCAATTATTCTGTAATGTGGATTATCACATTGACCTTTGATGATCTGCTGATACAACTTTTGCAGCTCTGTATCCTCCTGAATCTCTATATACAAATCCTGAAGTTGTATCGCTGAAGGTGCTGTCAAAGCCAACAAGGTGCTGTCAAAGCCAACAATGTCAAACTCACTGACAGTCCTGTAGCTGTCTCAATTCTCGATAACCCATCTGCTGCCTTGTTGTCACAACTCGGTTTATAGCATATCTCGAAATCAAAACCCAATAACTTTGTTAACCACTTCTGGTATTCCATATTCACCTCTTTCTGCTCGAGTAAGTACTTCAAACTCCTCTGATCCGTGTAAACAATAAACCTTCTGCCCATTAGATAATGTGTCCATTTCAGCACAGCCATCACCACTGCCATTAATTCTCGTTCATAAGCCGGCTTCAGTTGTTCTCTTGCTGTTAACCCATGACTGAAGAATGCCAGGGGACGACGATCTTGCATCAGCACTGCTCCCAACCCAAAACCTGAGGCATCTGATTCAATGAAAAATGTTTTTTCAAAGTATGGAAGGGCTAACACTGGAGCTGATATCATTGCACGTTTCAACTGCTCGAATGCTATTTGTGCCTCTTGGAACCATTGAAAGCTGTTTTTCTTTAGTAACTCTGTTAGAGGTCTGGTTATGCTCCCATAACCTTTCACATAACATTTTTAATACCCCGTCAAACCCAAAAAACCCCGAAGTTGCTTGACTGTTCTCGGAGTTAGCCATTCTTTCATTGCCGGAGTCTTTGTGTTATATGTCGCTACTCCTTCTTTGGATATAATGTGGCCGAGATATTCGACTTGTGGCAAGCCAAACGAACATTTCTTTTTGTTTGCCAGCAGTTTTTGCTCGGCAAAAATACGCAGGACCACTCTTAAATGCGTCACATGATCGTTCATGTTCTTGTTATACACCAACACATCGTCAAAGAAGACGAGAAGGAATTTCCTCAAATATGGTTGAAAGATTTTATTCACCAGCCCCTGAAATGTGGCTGGTGCATTTGTCAGACCAAAAGGCATAACAAGAAACTCGTAGTGACCCTCTATGGTTCTGAATGCTGTTTTTGCAATGTCTCTATCTTCCATACGTATTTGGTGATAGCCAGAACGTAAGTCTAATTTTGAAAAGACTGTGGCTCCGTACAATTCATCAAGGAGCTGATCTATGACAGAGATTGAAATCTTATCCGGCATAGTAGCTTTGTTCAGTGCTTTGTAGGCAATGCAAAACCGCCAGGATGTGTCTTTCTTCTTGATAAGCAGCACAGGGCTTGAAAAGGGACTATTGCTTGGCCGGATTATCCCTGACTTCAGCATTTCAGAGACCATTTGTTTCATGATAACCTTAGTTGCGTGAGGGTAGTGATATGGTCTTACTGAAATTGCTGACACTCCTGGTTGTAAGTTGATTGCATGTTCTCGACCACGTTACAAAGGGAGACCCGTGGGTAAAGCGAAGACATGATCAAATTCCTGCAGAAGTGGGTTTAGCTTACCAGGAATTGTTGGAATCGTAGGTGTTACCTCACTAGTGTGTGCGAAAAGCACTCCTCTTCCTTTTGCAACACTAGTCGAGATGGGTGACAGTGACTTCATGGATAGTTTGAAAGTGTGAATGGATAGATCTCTGAACAAGTCCACTCTCTTGCCATTATAGACAAAGGACAGTTCCTGCTTCTTCCAATCCACTTCACAACAACCTAATGTCTCAAGCCATTGTACACTTAGAATAACATCTACCATTCCTAACTCTCCCTTCCAAACTCAGGGCAACCATCTCTAATCATTCCTCTTCATCATACTGTACAATGTTGAAAAATCTTTCGACATCCTGTATCCATATGTACGGATGTTTCCCAGAGAAAGCTGGCATTTCGACTTTCTGTAACATACTATCTCTTGTAGCTGAATTCAACTTCCCAGATCGATAATCTAGCTCAGGATTCCTCCGGTGTTGTTCCAGATTCGAAGATCGTACCTGATTGTGAGCTCTGGATTGTTCTCGAGCTGATCGTGGTCTCGCTGTTTTTCCCCTGTTCTGCGAATCGGATTGTTGCAACAGCTGAAGAATGGAGTCCATCTTCCCATCCAGATCAGTAATCTTACTGTCAAAATCGCCTAATTTCCCGTCAATTTCCGAGAAACGCTTGACATTTTCTTTCTGAGCTACATTGAGCCGCTTGTATCCTCTTTTTACGAAGTGTAAGCTCATTTCGCTCTCCGCCGGATCCTCCTCTCCATCGTATTGTGATTCTTCTTCATATGCATGTTGAGTTGTCGTCACCGTTTCTCCGATCTCTGTTGAATGAAATCGAGTCGGCGTCGGCGTCGTCGATTCGTAATTGCCATCACCGCCGTTTCGAATCGCCACCGTGTTGAATCGCCGCTGTGTTGAATCGCCGCCGTGTTGGATTCGCCCAGTTTCGCCGTACCAATGATAGAGTCTTGATACTCAATCTCTTAAGAATGAATCAAAAAACGAGATATTGAAGAAGAATGTTGATTTGTATTGAATCACAACATTGAATCCAAAGAATTACAAGTCGACTTAGATCAACACTGATCTTCGTCTCTGATCACACTGATCGCACATCGCAGATTCATAAACCAAATAATTCTTTTGATAAAAAAAAAAACAAAATGCATTTCAAATTATTTATATTTCTTTTTCGAGCTGGTTCACTTCTAACTGACTGCGAGCTCATCCTCCACATCATCGTTGACGGAATTCTCCTTTTGACTTTTTCCCTAACTTTTTTTCCGGTGATACACATTACACATGACGGAATCTATCAGCGACCCGCTATTATATTTGTGGTCTCTGCTCGTAGCGGTTGTAGCTGTTGCTGCTACTGAAGAAAGAACATGGCCTACCTCTGTGTAACGTTTGTTCTACCGTTTGGTCTGCTATGTTTTTGTAGAAATCATAAGGAGAAAGAAAAAAAACTAAATAATTTTATGACTTTAAAACTATTCTTAAGAACAATTATACATTATTGGTATATATATACTTAAACTTAATTGACCTTTTTGCCGTCCTCTAAGTCATCTTTAACATATCAATTTTTTTTTGTGTATCAGACTATCAATGAAGTTTTAAAAAATCGCAAGCAGCATTTAAACTGCAATTTGTTTTCCCGTTTTGCCAGCACATTTGGATTATCTTATGAGTGCAGTGCAGACCCGATCCAACTTTGTTTAAATAAAAAAATTGCTTTCATCTCTTTAGTTATATATACTAAAACTAATACTGTGAACATTTTCAGAGATTAATCTTGTGGCTATCCAGTAACACAGAGAAATGTCAACATCTTCTCACTCGTACCCGATGCGCAGCGGTGATGATCAACACAGTTACATCCATCATTCTTCATACCAGGTATCTTATGATTACTGTTAAATTATTTTCATGCATGTCCAATATGATTATATGATTAGAGTTATGATGATTTTGTTCCACAGATATTCATATTCCAATTTTGTTATTTCTAGAATTTAACCATGCATGTTACGCAGTTTGGTGATATGGGAAAAATAATTCGAGCCAAATAGAGATATCAAACACATATATTCAGGGTAAACATAAACAAACAAAATAAACTACTTTATCCGTCATGAATCAAATTTGTGGATTTAGCCTTCAGATTGGAACTTTGACTTCAAATTGGAGATTTGAGTCAAAACTGCTATCTGTTTTAAATGATTATTAGCGATGTTAAACTAACAACAAGACTAAATTAGCTTTGAACAATGCATATTTGAGTAATTTATTCGTCTAATGAAATAGTTACAAGTTTTTTTGGATCAATATGGGTAGCTTGGAAAAGAACATTTATTATCTCCCCTAGTAATTAACTAGCATTTATCTGTGACACTACAGAAAGCAGGTATAAATGGCGCTGAAGAGAAGACAAGGCAATTCATATTAGAAAAACTCGATCTCCAGTTAAATTCAGGTCTTAGTACTTTTCGAATTGCGGATTTTGGTTGTTCCATTGGACCTAACACGTTTCATGTTGTTCAAAGTATCATTGATACGGTGAAAGTGAAACACGTGAAACAAAACAACGAAACTCGCCTTGTGCCTCTCGAGTTCCAGGTCTTCTTCAACGATCAACCCAACAATGACTTCAACACCCTCTTTAGAACTCTACCTCCTTCCTCTGAACGGGAATATTTCTCGGCCGCAGCTCCAGGCTCTTTCTATGGCCGAGTGTTACCAAGAAACAGCATACATATCGGACACACTTCATACACGCTTCACTGGCTTTCCAAAGTTCCTGAACACGTGTGTGACAAGAAATCTTCTGCTTGGAACAAAAATTACATTCAATGTAATTATTTGATAGAAGAAGTTATCAAGGCTTACAAGGTCCAGTTCATAAAAGATATGGATGTTTTCCTTGATGCTAGAGCCGAAGAGCTTGTGCCTGGAGGATTGATGATTGTATTAGGACATTGTTTACCTGATGGTGTTCCCTTGTATGAAACATGGCAGGGTCATGTTGTCGATACCATTGGTGATTGTCTTATGGATATGGCTAAATCGGTAAGTATTAAGATATACATATTCCAAATATATAGTTTTTTCCCCTAAATTAATGCTTACTAACTTCAAAAAATAATCATATATTTTGTTTTGTTGTTTAGGGTCATGAATATCTGCTAGTAACCATTGATTGTGGTCATTGCTTTGTAGGGAATATTAAGTGAGGAAAAGATCGAATTGTTCAGCTTCCCTGTTTATTTTCCTCAATTTAGTGAATTGAAAGGAGAGATTGAAAAAAATGGAATTTTTTTTATTGAGATGATGGAGAGTATAGGCCATCCATTGGAGCATATGTCAATAACAACCGACTTCATCACTTCCATGTTTCGAGCCTTGCTCACTACACTCATAGAAAAACATTTTGGAGATGGTGTGGTCGATGAGCTTTTCAATCGATTTGCTAAGAAACTCTCCGAGCACCCATTTGATTTTGAAATGTGGAAGACACAAGTGGTGTATTATGTCGTTCTTAAACGAAAATGAATATTGAGAGAATGACATAACGAGTTATGTCTTCTTTGAATTATATGTTGGTAAATTATAAGACTTCGCAAGTTATAATAAAAAGAAATATGTAATTATGCCTTTTTCTTTCAGTAATTTATTGGGTTTTTGTTTTAGAAATAATATTTTCAGTTATTTATGTTGTTATTTCTGTTATTGTGCATGTTATCATGATATGTAACAATATTTGATTATCATTATTTTTCAGGCGAATTTGTTTTTTCTTCAGCTTCTCAATCAATCACAAAATAACAATGTGGTTAGGCCATTCTGTAATCCGATTCCAAAAACAATTCGTTTTATTTATTTATGAAATACTAATTAAAAACATAATCTCATTTCGAATATATATATATATATATATATATAGGCATTAAGGTTTAACCAAGAGGTAACAAATGATTGCATACTTTCTTCCACATCATAATTCATAAACAAATTATCGGAGAAGAAGCAATGACTAATACTAATGTTGCTGCCACTAAGCCTCGTACTACAATCGTCCACGAATCTCCTAGCCTCATTCGTGCATGGTGGTGAGACTCTATATCAATATGAAAATGTAACATAAAGAGTTACTCTCTCTCTTTCATAATAAGTGTCATTTAGAGAAAATGTATCTGCATTGTAACTAGATGTATCTGGATATGTTTTGAGTTTAATACATTTAGATACATTGCAGATACATTTTTCCCAAATGACATTTATTATGAAACAGAGGGAGTATTACATTTTAAAACTAATCATCTTAAAATCATATGTTAATGGTTTGTTTGCAGGATGAACAAGAACCTACGATACGACGTTGCAATGAGCAGCATCATCATAATCATCAACATCGCAGCAATCGTGTATCTGAGAACCCACAAGATTCCCTTAAACAAAGATGTTTCGGCAATTTTCTGGCCATCACTCTCTGTTTCTTATATCATGTTAAGCATAACTAGTTGCGGGTGTTGGTTTGCGGCAATCGAGGATGCCCGAATGTCTGAATTATACTTGTTAGGACGCTGCTCTCACACCATGGGCTTCTGTCTTTTCCTTGTACTCATCTATTCTATTTCTCCCCACTTGGCTTTAAACTTCGGTCTACCTTGTCTGATCTGGTTCGTAACCGCCGTGATTGCACCGTGTTGTCCATGTCTATGGAGAGGTCTATGCAATAAAGTGCAAGGAGTACGAGATTGGTGGAAGTATGTGAATCAACCACAATTAGTTTGCAATGATCAGGAGGAAAATTCGATCAAAAGAATGGATTGTTCAGTATGATTTTAATTTTGTTAGTTTTTTTTTTTTCCTTTTTTTTAGTTTTTAATTTATAAATTGTAATCAGTATTTTTTTTTTTAATTAAGAAGATTCCACATAATCTGTCAGATAGCTTATGCATTATGTGTGTTCATGCCAACAAATACGTACAAATCAAACCACATAAGCAGAAGTTATTGATCTTCTTGGTTCAGGGGAACAGGGACATTAGGTTCATGTCCTTGGGGCAATGCCATCAATAACCGAGGGGGCGCAGTTTCTTCATCAGAAGAGAAACCAGAGAGTCTCGTGTCCTAATTTGCAACAAACCCCCAAAAAATGTTTTAGGTTTCAATTATCTCTGCAAGAATCGAATATTGGGGAAGTCAGAGAATGTTTCTAACCCTCTCTTGCCTGCAACGTTGTATACCAATGAATGATTTGACCAAGAAATATGCAACCAACAAGATCCCCAATGTTTTCAACAATGGTATCTACAAAAAGACAACAGAAACATGTCTCTAACTTGGGAAAATAAGAGGAACAATGTATATGTTCGAGCTTTGATCTTATCGAGCTTACCATAAACAAAGTCAACGAGAAATCATCAATTCCATTTCCACCTAAAAAGACTGGAAGAAAATGGCGCAAGAACAGTAGAAGGATGAACTGCGCAAGAAGATGAAGTATGTTCATTAAGAATCTTGGATCAATTTTTCCTCAAGAGCCTGGGCAGAGAGAAGAAGAAACATACTAGCAATGCAATTACGCGGCAACAAATCAAGCTTGTGGGGCTATGAAATGAATAAAGCTCGTAGTCATCAGCTGCATCCCAGGTTAGAAAATAAGGATTACGAAGATCTAATCCCTCAATTCCCCAATCGTTCCTATAACATTTTCCATCAGAGAACTTATCTCTCAGTAGAATCATTACAATGTGCAGAGGAACAAAGCAAGACAGAACTAAAAATACCTGAAGTTCATAGAGATGCCTGTGTAGTGAAACAATTGTTTGGGAGCTGTGTAACCAGGTTTATATTGCTGCGGTTCGAACAATGTTTCATGAGATGATAATTTCATGAAAGCAGAACAAGAAAATTATATGATTAGGTATAATACCTGACGGCAAATTTCGCATACTGTATCGCCTTTTTCGTTGCACCATCTCTGGACGCAGTTATGATGAGCAAACTGAAAGAATTCTTGAGGTTAAGAATCTAAATTCGGAAAGGATTCTGTTTATGGAAACAAAATTAGAACAAAGATAAAAACCTTTAATGTTCCAGAGCAAGAACAAGGCGTATCCATGTTGGAATCTTCATCTTCGTCATGACAAATCCTACATTGTACGAATGCACTCTCACAAATATCAGTTTCTGCAGATACAGATTCAGATGCACCGTCTTTGTTAACCGAGTCAGCTCGGTTTATCGTCTCAATACCGGAATTGGTTGATAACCGATCAACCACCAATACTAGATGATCTCCCATCCTAATGCTTACCACCACACACAAAAAACAAAGCTTGATTGATATATAGAATAAGGGCTAAAATCAAATGTCAGAAAGATAAGACTGCAACAAGATCATAAGATAAAGCTAACGTCTTTAATTATCACAAAATGAACAAAGAAACATTAACCAAAACCAAGATCATAGGCAAGAATCAATGGACGACAAGAAAAACTAACAGAAACTTGAGAAGCAAAGTCAGAGAGAGAGAGAGAAGAATTTTCTCCCAAAAGTTGTTGTTGTGTGTACATGGAGATAATGTGATTAAGGAGACTTTTAATCCGAGGATGCAAGAAAAAAAAAAGATTCTGATTCTCTGCAAGAAAACTAAAATGTCCTTTTTCTTTGCCCTGAATCCATAACTTTACACAGCATATTCTTTTCCTTTCTTCTTCTTCTTCTCCGTCTTCACAATTCCATTAATATAATACACATATAGAGTAAACTTGCATCAATCGTCATATGTAGAATGTGGAGAAGCAGTACATCCAGAATCAAAAGGATCTTCAGATCCACAACAATGCCAATATTGTAAAATTTTCCCAGAATTTGGTGTATCCATTGTTCCACCAGAGTATACGCTCTCAAATTTCCTCTTCGTCTCTCCTATAAAAAAACCCAGAATTCAATTTCAGACCCTAATTTTACTACCTCCCGAAACAGAGAGCGAGAATTTCGATTCTGGGTCTGAATAAACCCTAATTTACCTCCGAAATGAGCAGTGTGGAATCTGCAAGCGCGAGGGTGATTGAGGAGAGGATTGAATTGCGTTTTGCAATTCTTACAAGTTCTTAAGGTATTGCCGCCGCCTGAGGAAGCTGAGCATCGTATCCATTTGATTAAGAGGCATCGTCGTGAGTTGAAGCTCGGTTTCTTCAAGCTCTGGAGGGAGTGAGAGTGAATTAGGGTTTTTGGGATTGGGGAAGAAGGAGAAACCTGAAATTTGAGTAAAGCTTGAGCCATCGTCTTGCTCCGTACAAATGGAGAAAATGGACCAGAGAAGATATGAAATTTAACTAATTAATATGTTCCATTGGTGGTTAAAAAAAAAACATAATAAAAAAAAATTGTTGATTAAAACGACTCCGTTTTTATGTTTTTGAATTTGTGTTACTTCTTCACCTCAAATTCACCTTTGGAAAACCCTAATGTTGAACCACACTTATAATATATGTATTAGCAAGACGATAATGGATGAATTAACTTTGCAATCTGCCTTGACAAAGGAAAACTAAAATAACTCAAATACCAGCACAAGAAGGTTTCCCTTTCCTTTAATTAATTAGATAATGGGTTTTTCTAAAAAAAACTTTTTTTACTAGGGTTCTTAATTACATGCATATATAATGGGGGTGTATTCTTCATATTGTTAATGGTGTGAAACAATAAGTTATATCACCTAATTACTGCTTCCAAACACACATCAACATGTTGATGAGCAGTTTCTACTTATTCTTTGCTTTGTTTTTGGGATATATTGGGGCATTCGTAATCCAGAATCTTATAAATTGTTTGAGGAATTGGAGACTGGCAAGACAACAACCATTGGCTCAAGAAGCGGCAACAGTAGAAAAAATCATTGAAGAAACAGATGATGACTCGACCAGAGAAGACTCACATGTTTATGTGGCGCTGATGGATCCAGAACTTCTCGATTGCCCAATCTGCTGCGACCCCCTCAAGATTCCTATATTTCAGGTTTGGTTCTTAAAAGTTTCCTTGCATCGCAAGTTACTTGATATCCTTTCTTTATTTTTTTTGTCTTTCTCTGTTGATATACTACATATACAACTTTTTTTGTGTTCTATCTGCAGTGTACTAATGGTCATCTAGCTTGTTCTCTGTGCTGCAACAAAATCAAGAACTTGTGCCCGTCTTGTCAATCAATGATTGGATTCATTCGTTGTAGAGCCATGGAGAAAGTCATTGAAGCATCTAGAGTGCCATGTCCAAATTTCAAATACGGCTGTAAAAAGAAAATCTCGTACGAAAACCGCTCTATCCACCAGAAGCAATGTGTTTTCTCCCCGTGTTCTTGCCCCGTGCGTGACTGCAACTATACCGGCTCATACGAAGATCTCAAGAACCATGTTAATGTTAAACACAAGGAAGGACTGGTTCTTTTTACCTGGAACACTCCTTTAGCCCTCAAGTCTATCTTCAGTGAGAAGATTACCATTTTGTTGAAAGAAAACAAAGATGGGGAACTGATTGTAGTTCAAGGTTTTGAAGGATCGTACGGTACGATTGTAAATGTGAGCTGCATTGCACCTTTGGGAATTTCTAGGCGCAGAATAGCCTGCCGTCTAGAATTGAAAGCGCTGAGAAGCACAATAAAGCAGGTATTATTGGTGAAGAGAATTCAGAAAATGAGTGAGGAACATCTCAAAGACGTTTTCATGTTGATTCCTCCGTATATGTTGCCTAAGGGATTATTCAGCATGGAGATATGCATCAGCCGAGATTATATTCATCGTCAAGCTTGAGATATCAAACGACTAATATGCAAAACTAGTTGAGGTACATTCATCAAAAAATGTGCATAGTTGTGTTGCTAATGAGATTTTATTTCAAGAATTATTTAATGTACTTGAAGACAGATGATAGTCAAAAAGAGAACTGATACAATTTCGTATTTACAACACAAAGCAAATTGGTGGTGACACAAGACAGTTAAAGTATTATTTTTTTACCGATAAAAAGGACATTACATCTAGAAACGGTAGGAGTATAGTATATAGTCCTAGTCTAGAAAAATCTTTCAAATTTCATTTATACTTATTATATACACAAGAACATACACGCACACACAGAAACACACATATAGAGACAATATATTGTGAATGAAACCTGTATATCAAGCTAACTGGATTTTTAATGTCACACCCAGAACTCGAACTCAAATAATAACATCTCTAGTGCACTTGCTTTTTTCTTGATCTCCTCCAAGTCTCTGTAGTTGTTCTGTTTCTTCTTTTATATAAGACTTGTGTGTTCTTGAGTGAATGTGAGATTGAGAGATCGAGAGACTAGGCAAGACAGGGATCATTTTTCTATCCAAATCTGTGATTGTATGAATTGTTCCTAAACATATACAAGTACTTCACAACACATATATGTTTTGAAGCCAGAGTTGCTAAAAGATACGATGAATTCACAATAATTACTTATATGGTTCATAAGACTTGTTATTAAAAAAGAAGCAAAAACTCTTGGAACTGAAAAGGGCAAAATCGCCTGTAGTCTGGAAATAAAAACGTTGAGAAGCACACTGAAGCAGATATTATTGGTGAAGAAAATTGAGGAACAGCCCAAAGACGATTTCATGTTGATTCTTTCCTATATGTTGCGTAGGTTATTGACCATGGAGATTTGCATCAGCAGTGTTGAGGCTCAAATTATTTAAGCTTGAGATATTACGCAAAATTGGTTGAGGTACATTCATCAAAATATGTTCATAGTTTTGTAATTTATATAAGATGTTCCCAATGAGCTTTTTTTCGTGCGCGTATAATGCGGATACTCTCGTAATAGTAATACAAACCATATATTCTGAATAGTCATGATCCTGCCAGACAACTCCATATATTAAATATGAATCATATTTTAATGTGATTGACTATACCAATGACATATACATTCATATTTTAAGTTTCCCGCACTTAGCATGGGAAATTAATAATATTGGAATCAGAACGTGGTGTATGATTCGGTCCACCTTTACCAAAAAAGAAAATTGATTTCAATTAACCACTTTCGTAAAATATTGAAATCTATAGGCTATAAAATATACAAAGTTCTTTCTCAAACCATACAGAAAAATATAATTTCCTCTTTGAAGATCAACGAGCTCATCCATGGCGATATATCACTTGCAGCCTTTGCTTCTTCTCCTTGCATCAATCTTCTTAAGTGTAGATTTCGAATACTGCAACAGTAAGTGTAGACTTGCTAAGTCTGTATTTTATTTTTTGTTAACGTAATAGAACAAGTACTCTTATTATTTGATAGATTGTACTAGGCTTTTCCTATCTATGGGTTTTTATAAACGGATAAAAATATTGGACAAAAGTTCATACAAGTTCCTAAAACTTAACAGTTAATCACTGCGACTGTGTTTGTAGAAAGTGGATACGATTACGGTAACATCACTCGTGTTGAGATCCCTCAGGACCCTGTTAGCCTTGACGACGAGCCAACCATTAAGATATTCGGTGCTGCATATAGTAAAAGTACATAATATTTTGTTCTAATCTTCCCCCAAATTTCAACTTCTTTTTTGAAGAAAAGATGACAATATTTCTTAATAAAATATTCTGTGTAAATAGGCATACCATGTGATTCCGAAGTAAATCTAGAGGTGTCCACCATAGTTTCGAATGTTAGTCACTTCGCAACAGACTACAACTTCTGTGACTCAGCGGATGAATGCCCTATTCAACCTGACACCAACTTTGTGTTAACTCTTCCCAATCTTCCTTTGATTCAAGTTGAGGTAACTATTCTTGCACTCTATGCATAGTAAAAAGAAACACCTATATAATTGTGATTAATTACAGTATTGTCTCCATCCACTCTAAAGATTGCTCTCAATCCAACTCTGACCGAAACGAAAACCAATTCGAACTAAATTTGAATTTTTCTTTGAACTGGAACCATACCAAAACCTACATGAACCAGGAATTACCGTTTCACATGATGTTGTGTTTTTGATTGGTTATGTTAAATAAATAGTAGCTAAATCATGTAGCACTGAAATCAATAGAACAAAAAAAATATCTGACTTAGATAAAGTCAAAGATAGAATTGTCAAGACTAGTAAATAGTTAAAACATTTAAAAGCTACTATGTACTATGAGTGAAGTTTACTGAAAGCTTACTTATAACTTTAAAAAGTAAGAAATATATTCAGTAAACTTACGTATTCAAAACATGAAAACATGAAAAATTGTATACCATTCAAACTCGTTATATTTTTAAAACGATTAAAAAAGAATCACAACCCCTCTTCTATTTCACACCTCTGCTTGGTTTGGCCTTTTTGACGTTCCTTTTTTTTCTCTCTTAACATGTGAAGGGTGATCGCAAGTATTTCATAAATTTTATTGATTATCTTAGTGGAGAATCTCATGACAAGGCAACGACAATAATGTGTATCGAGTTCATGTTACATATTTTACCTTCCACATCGATCTCTGCTTAGTCGAAAAGATGCATCGAAATAATGGCTGTGATTGGTAAACTCTGTGAAATGGTGGAATTAGGAATGGTGGAAAAATGCAATTCCGCAAGAACTTTGCCAATCAGAAAAACTTGCGGAAAAATACCAAAACTCGAGTTCTATGGAATGGCGGAAATACTTACAAAAAATACAAAGAAAATTTGATTAAGTGGAAAAGTGTGTTTCAGGTAGCTTATTTGCGGAATTAATATTTTATATCATTCACTTATATAACTAATTATATTTTATTATTTTAAAAAATATAAATAAATATATTTATACTACATATATTTATATAATGATCAGATTATATCTGTAGATTAAATATTGCAATATAATTATATATTTTATAGTAAATAAAAAATAAAAATAAGAATAAATAATTACAATAAAAGTTTTAATTTTTTCTAATTATATTAAAATTATGTTTTTTATAATAATTAATATTTTATTTTCCTTTTCTTGTGTGTTGTATAAACAAAAATAAACTCTAAATTTGTACTGATTTCTCCTTTTATTTTGTAACTGTTTTGTTAAAAAGATATGGAAACAATGTTCTTTATTGAGAAAATAATTAATACAGCAATAACCCTTGTGTTTATCTCCTAGATGACACCTCAGCTTATTTAAGCTTTATAAACATGACATTTCAGAAAATAAAATCACTAATCAAAATATTTTATTAATACAAGTCATCTATTTATTTTAATATTTAAATTTAAAGCCATTAAAAATTCAAATATTTTTTGTTGTTAATTTTGGTTTTATTTTTTGACCAAATCCAAGCCCAAATAATAAATAACAACAAATAAAAAAGTCTTTTATTTTATTTTTTTCCAAACCTAAGCCCAAATAATAAATAATGGTAAAAAAATTATTTTAGGTGGGGGTATTGAATTTAGAAATTAGACTGAATTGAAATGAATTGAAGTTTCCATTAAATACCGGTGTTATTCAATGATATATTTTATCAATGTTTTTAAATATTTGTGTTATTGGATTAACTGTTTCCATTCATTTTTTCAAAATCCTTTAAATTGTCATTGTTATTCAATATACTAATTTTTTAATTCTATTAAATATCTGTGTTATTCAATTTTGTAATAGCTTTGATTGTATTATCATTTGGAAGGAATTTTATAGAATCTCACATAAAAATGGTTAAGAACCAATTCCTACCAATTTTTACTATGATTATGATAGAATTAGTTTGAATTCCTACAAAATACTTTAACTTACTTAAAAATCAATTATTTTTGAATTCTTGTACATTCTATCAAATTCAATCATCCAATAACACCCCCTTATTTTTTGCCAAACCTAAACAATAAATAATAGCAAATAAAAAATTTAAATTTCCAGTTATCTGTTTGCTTGACATAGACGTGTATGATTGAAAAAATGTAGGCCCAACATCTACTATGCTTCCATGACAATAAATCAAAAAGCTTTATGTTATAAGAAGCTCACACATCAGCAAAATTTTGAACTAATAAAAAATAACACTTTATTTTAATATAATAGGCTTATTTTTACAATCACTTCTGATACACCGCCACATGGCACTCCAGTGAATGGCATATGTTACTTATTTTTTTTAAACAATATTTTACTTCTCATCTAAATTAAAACCCAAACTAAAAATTACATCTAAATCTATTCTAATGTAGTAATTGTTTTTTAGAATGAGTTTTGATATGCTGCCATGTGGCTCTACAGAAGTTGTCATGTGTCATTTACTACATCTTTTTTCTATTTATTGAGAAATAATCTATTATAATACAATAGGTTTTTTTTACAACCACATTTGATACACCGCCACATGGCACTCCAGTGAATGACATATGTAGTTTACGTTTTTCTGTTAAAAATATAGTTTTACTTGAAAATGTAAGAAATATGATATGATTAAGAAAAAAAATATCATATCAATAATTTATGATTAATAAATATATATATATATCTATTCTAATATTTTTTTGTTAAATTTTAGAATGAGCTTTGATGCTGTCATGTGGCACTCAATAAATTGACATATGTCATTTCTATTTGACTATATTTTTTATATTACAATTAAATATTAGATTTGTGCAAGGTATTTTGATTTATAAATAATTTAGATTCTATTTCAAATTTTTTTGCAATGCCATTATTATTTTTCATAAAATAATGACAATTTTTACATTGCCATACGGTTTTTGAAAAAAAAAACTTAAATACTATTGTTCAAATAAACCAAAGATTGCAGTTTCTACATGAATCCATCATGTAATGTTTTCACTTTCAGTATGATCAATATAATCTAAAAAAGAAAAAGACCAACAAATAATAGTCACTCAATATTTGATTGGTGGTAATCAAAAAATAAAATATTAACAAAAGTACTATAACTACACTTAACCAACATCATAAAAACATTTAAATACTATAAAAAACAATAAACTACAAATAGCAAACACCATAGAGCATTCAAATAACAAATCAATCTTTTATTTTTACCACAAATCTAATAAAAAAAATATATTATATGCATTATATTACGAGAGAAATTCTCTTACCCTATAACCAATCACAAACTCTATCTTTAAATTATGAGTCCATTTCTTCAACAGTAAAAATTCAACTACACAAACATAAACTACAAAAGAAAAAAATGGTAAGTGTACTATATGTTTTGATAGTCTAAAAAGACTAAAGATACTAATATTTTATTTTATATTCATAAATTTTACTGTAAATATATTTCTGAATGGTTATATTACAGAACAATATATATTTATTATCGAGAAGAAATAATATAATACTTTTAAATCTTTTTATCAATAATTAAATTCTTAATCCTTTTACATATTATTATTAACAAAACAGAGTATATTATATATATTATTATTATATGGCATCAAAATATAACAAATCCGTGCAACACGCGGACCTCTCATAGTAATACATATCATCAACACAATAATAAAATCAGTTAACTATTTTGCTGATCCATTAAAAAGCCTAAAGTTTACAAAAAATGAAGGTCGAAAGCAAATGAGGAGAAGCTCAGACCACGACAGCTTGGAGATTCGCATTTCCAGTGGTTAATGAGAACAAATCAATAATTTTTCGATTATTCTCCGTCACTAAGCCTCACATCAGAGCTTTCTATCTCTCATGATTTCAATTATTCTGCTGGTTTGTCTCCACTTTTGCAGCTTCGCAGCTCGAGCTTCCTCCCAGTCATTCGTTAAAACCTCAATCTCAGCACCATTGACATCGGAAACACCAAAATCACCTCTGTTTTCCGCTCGGTCTTCGCTCAGTTTCTCGGGTTTTGACGTGAAAGCAAAATTTTGTGGTTTGAACAGGAAAATTAAATTCTTGGGAAAATTAAAATTTTTGATTTGATGGAAAAATGAGATTTCTCGATTGTGGCGTGAAAAAGAAAATTTTCGGTTTTGATGGAAAACAAAATTTTCTAGTTATGATGGGAAAACAAAATATCTCGATTTCGATAGGAAATGTGAATTCTCGATTTTGGTGGACAATGCAATTTTTCAGTTTTTGATGGATAATGCGATTTCTTGGTTTTCGCTTGAAAATACAATTTCACGATTTTTGTGAAAAATGTAATTTGACGATTTTGGCAGAAAATGCCTATTTTGACGGAAATAGGAGATTTCTCGGGTTTGGCGGGAATTGGAGATTTTTTTAGTTTTGGCGAAAAACTGTAATTTTACGTTTTGGTAGAAAAACATAATTTCTCAGTCATGGTGGGAAAAATATGATTTCTTGGGTTTTGCAAGAAAATGTGTTTTTCGGTTTTGGAGTGAAAACAATAAATCTCAATTTTGGCGGGAAAACAAAATATCTTGGTTTTGATGAAAAAAATACGATTTCTCGATTTTGATGGGAAATGCAACTTTTCGATTTTGATGGAAAAATATGTTTTTTTTGGTTTTGATGGGAAATGAAAATTTTGAGTTGACGGATAATGCGATTTCTTGGTTTTCGTGGAAAAATGCGATTTCTTAGTTTTCGCAAGAAAATACAATTTGACGATTTTAGGGGGAACTGCAATTTCTCGATTTTGACGGGAATAAGCTATTTTTCGGTTTTGATGAATATTGCAAATTTTCATTTTTGACGGATAATGTGATTTTTTTAGTTTTAGTGGGAAAATGTGATTTCTTAGTTTTCGCGGGAAACACAATTTCTCGCGAGAGAATGCAATTTTTGGTTTTCGCAAGAAATTGTAATTTTTCGGTTTTGGTGGGAAAACGTGAATTGTATTTTGACGAGGAAATAAAATTTCTTAGTTTTGGCAGAAATAATTGATTTCTCGGTTTTCACGAAAAAATAAAATTTTATGGAAATATATTTTTTTTGTTTTTGCACGAAGATGATTTTTTTTGTTTTGGTGAGAGAACGTGATTTCTCGATTTTGGTAGAAAACACAAGTTCTCACGGAAAAATGTGTTTTCTTGATTTTTGCAGAAAAATGCAATTTCTTAGTTTTGGTGGAAAAATAAAAATTTTGGTTTGATGAGAAAATAAAATTTCAGTTTTTGTAAGACGATGAAATTTTTTGATGGTAAAATTCCAAGTTACCATATGTTTACAGTAACCAAAATTTAATTATTTAACTTCTGCTAAATCGATATTTCAACAGTTCATACATAATTTTTTATTTAGTTTTAAAACAATTGCAATGGTTTTGATATGAATGTTATTGATTATTGTTTGGTGGAAATATATGTTATAATTAATATCATTTGGTTTTCAGGTAATTCATATACTTTTTTGGATATCAATCAAATTATTATCATTATACAGAATTTTTAAGAGAATTCTTCTTCTTCTTCCTTGTTAACAAAGCTCAACCCTAGCTGAGAATCTCTTCTGCAATCGCAGATTCTCTGCAGGTGAGTACAAAATCTGTGTTTTAAGAACATTGTTTTTGATATCTACCAGTTACTTTGGTGATTTACGAT